CCCACTTCTGGGTGGAGTTGACACTCCCAGCTCCAAGGGTGGATTACATCACCCAGGTCCAGCCAACCACATTCCCCAGACCTTGCTAATGAGTTCAGTGGTAGATACTGTCATAGTCTGAAATTTTATTCACTTTTCACTTTTGTGAGCTAGTTGAGTTTTTATTCATTTGCAACTAAAGGAGTTCTGACTAATTTGGCATTTGACATGCATTGTCTCATCACAATAGCCCATGGAAGAGAGGTCATTATCCTGATCTTATCAAGAAGCAAAATATGCATCTTGAAGATTAACTGCAGACAGCAAACTCCTTGATCTTAACTCTTAAACAATTATTTCTTAAACGTTAGTGAATTTTATAATCATCAAGATTCACCCCTGACCTAATGAATCAACATCTCTATGGTGGACAAAGAGAATATGCATTTTCATAAGTTCTCAGGTGATTTTGAGGCAGGACTTGTGGACCACTTGTTCAGAAACATTTGCCTCAGAAGAAGTGATTTCAGGGGCATTGCTGCCTGGTGTTCTGACACTATGTCCTTATTAACAAGTCTTCCTTCTGGAAGAATCACACTTGAAAACTTGTCAGTTATGTAAACTATAAATCAAAGGAAATTCTTTCTTGAGAAGAGCTTTATTGAGAGAAGTGGATAAATTCAGAAAACATGAGATCTTGAGCTGGGGGCAAAAGGGGTGAAAAATGGGACCAGAAAAGGGAAAAGAGGGGGAAAAATCTCACAGTTCAATTTCACCAATCATTGCCTAAGATGTTCTTTTTAAATTAATTTGTGTGTGTGTGTGTGTGTGTGTGTGTTTTAATTTCGGTTATCAGAGTATACATGTCGGGAAACTTGAGAGTCTTTTGAAAAAGACATCTAGACGTTTGCTAGTTACAGTGGCTCATTGGACATAATGGAGAATGTTTAATTTAATTATTGACTTTGAATAGACATTTTGCCACTGCTAATAAGATTAGCTAGATTAATAAGTTGTTCAAGGGTTATAGAGACAGAAAGAACACAGTGAGAGCTATTGTTCATCAATATTTGGACACCCTTTCCCAGAATAGTCAGGTAAGTCACATGTACTACTATGAAATATTATCCTATCATGTCTTGGATTTTTTTTCTCTCTTTTTAAATTTAAGTGGAGTATCAGCAGTCTTTTGAGATAGGTATTATTGTTGTGAAAGTCAGAACTATTTCTGCACATAATATTCTTCAGTGACCTCTTCCACATAACATGTCCTCTTCCAAGTAGAATTGAATACATAGTGAGTCTTTGTGTTCTTAAAGTCTTAAATCTGGGAGTACATGAGATCTTCATCTGGAACAGTTCCAGGCACTAAGAAGGGGGATAGAGTTAAACTGCACTGAAGAAAGACGTATTATGTTAGCTGATAGTGTTTCCTACTTCTCATTTCCTTTTATACTTCTTGTACACTCAAAATTGAAGACTTGGATCAATCTGACTTAAAGAGATATTTATTTTTGAAGTTTTATTATTCCAAAGAGTGTTGGCAGCATGCCTGTAGTCTCAGTCTTAAATAGGTGTAATATTTCCAGCTTTTAGCTAGTAAGATTGAATTTAATAAATGTTTTGATAATAATGAAGTTTATTATAAAAGCAAAAATTCTACCAATAAGCTTTTATTTAAAATCATAACTCCTTTTTAAATGGTGTTCCTTTCTCTCCAACAATTTGACAAGCAGATATTTTGATATTTTAGTTCCAACTGGTTCATTCAGTTCATAGGTCTCCTCAACTTTGTCATCCTGGCAGAAACACCTTCCTTTTCTTTCTAGTTGAAATCAGAAGCTGAGTTGTATCTGGTCATCTCTAACACAGTCCTTTTACAAGGGTGCTCACTATAATAACCTGCCTCCAGATATTTGACAGAATAATAAATGATCACTTACAATATTATCTCTCTACCTGACTTCCCCTTGGGAAACCATATCACAATGTTGAACCTGTCTGCCTTCTTTTAACAACAACAAACTGAAATTTGTTGAATGAGAAGCAAGATATCCATCTGAGTATGTAGAAGAGACTCTCATTTGCTCACAGGTATATGGAGCAACAGGACAGCAGCAGAGACTTTGTGATACCACCACATTTTGTAAGTGCCCACTATGGTAACAGTTGTGTGAACATCCATCAGTTCTTCAGTTGAATACTTGACACCTCTGATGTGGTACATTGGATAAAAAAAAGGAATGAGCCAGATTTCCAAAATAGAATCCCATAGCCAAAGTGTTTTTCAGAAGATCAATATATTATAAATATGACATCTCTGTTATTTGTTTAAAATAGGTTGAAATATATTATCATTTTAAATGTATCTTCCATATTATTCTCCACGAGAACTTCTTGACTTTTTCCTCAAGCCAACACTACACGTTCAGCAACAGATGCTTGCATGGATGCAGAGAGAAAGGAACACTTGTACAATGTTGGTGGGAGTACAAACTAGTGCAACCTCTATGGAAAATAATACACAGATTCCTCAAAGAACTAAAAGTAGCTCTACCATTTGATTCAGCAATCCCACCACTATTTATTAAAAGATTTTTTAAAAGTCAGTTTTTTAAAAAGACACTTGCACTCAAATGTTTATTGCAGCACAATTCACAATTGCAAAGATGTGGAATCAACCCAAGTGCCCAATTCATGAATAGATTAATAAAATGTGGTATATGTACACCATGGAGTACTATTCAGCCATAAAAATGAATTAATACTTTTTGCAACAATCCGGATGGAACTGGAGACCATCCTCTTAAGTGAAGTATCACAAGAATGGAAAACAAACAGCATATGTACTCATTGTTAAATTGGAACTAACCCAAAGCACTCATGCACAGATGGAAGTAAAACTCAACAGAAATCGTGCAGGTGGGAGGTGGGGTGGAGGTGATGGGTGAAATCATACTTAATGGGTACAGTATATACTGTCTGGGTGATAGGCACACTTATAACTTGACTTAAGCAGAATGTAAGTGATCCATCCAAAACCATTGTACCCCTGTAATATTCTGAAATTTTAAAAAAGAAAAAAGCACATTTCATACGTTAGAGTTAAAATGGTTGAGGCATCAAAGGTTTTCAAATATGATTCTTTTTGGTGGGTATTGTGTGAGAAGGTGGCCCGGGAAGTACTACTGTGGGAACACAAAGGTTACTTGTAAGAGAGATAATAGTTCACAGACATTAAACTGATACATTTTGACATTCTCTATAACTCATCTTTCATTTCAGTCTCTCCCCTGAGGTGAGGCTCATTACCTGTGGATAGTAGAGGACTTGTCTTTAACTTCTAGGAAATGCAAAAATGCTTGGAAATTAGGTATGTGTGTTTTCAGAGGAGGAGCGGGACGGATTTGCCAAATACTTTTTTCCTGCTACAGCACATCAAGGGCTAAGACTGAAGGACTCAACTACTGAGTTTTTCCTCTAGTGTAAGGGTGATATGGGATGCTTCAATAAGTGAGGCTGACAAAGCTAAAGAGGGATGCAAAAGACCTGAATCAGCCACAGAAAAATAGGGAGACATGGTCAGCCAGAGCAGATCCTCAGGGTCACCAGTCTAGAGCCACCCTGGGTTCCCTCTAGTCCCTGATCTAAGAGTTCCACCATGGGGCTGCTGTGGCAGAATGAAGTCGCTCCTGAGCAGAGGCTGGGGTGGACCACAAGGCTGGTGGGCTGAATGGGGGCCATGCCATGGAGGTCTAATGAGGACTGCAGTCCATAAGAGCTGAGCTGCGGGCGTCACCAAGCTGAGAGGTCTAGTCACATGCTCTGGCAGCTGCAGAAATAGTTTCAGCAAACTGTAGTCAGGAAACAGACCCATGGACAAATGACCTGGCCCCAGAGAGCCAAAGGCTGAGTGCCTTCCCTTCCCAAGGACCCCACCTTCTCTCCTCCTCCACCAGCATGTTGAAAACTTCCTCCCCACATTCACTCAAAGCCATTGTAGGGATGTCAAAAGAAGAAGAGGAGGCTAGTTGAGAGACTGTCCAGATTTATTTAAATGCAATTTAAAAAATTGTTTTTAAATGGCTACTTAAATTGTCAGCTCAACTGGATGTTTGACTGTTTAATTTTTCCTTCCAGCTAGCCCAGTTGGAAGGAGTTTGGAATAATGTTCAGATTAAAACCAAAATGACAAAATGTGTTTTGCCTACACATCTAAGTTATGAGTTTAATTTGCCACCTTGCTATAGCTTTTTAATAAAAAAAGACAAAAGTCCAGCAATCCTCAGTCATGTTGAGACAGTGTATAGAACTATATAAAACCTAGAGCTACAGGGCATTTGAGGCATTTGAAGTTTCCAACCCCATCCAGGTTCTGGAATCATTGCTATTGCCTTCTTGGAAAATAAGCCTTTGTGCTTATTTTGCTGTGAAGATAAAACTGCTATGAAAAATAAAGTCTGTTTAAAAAAAAAAAAACTTCCCTAATGCCTTCTTAAATTCTCCCAAGGATGGAAATAGCCATCATTGGACAAAGTATAAAATATGTCCTTCTCTTATGGTGAAATCTGATTTTTCTATTTCTTTTGACCACTGTTCTTTGGGACACTTTTAGGAGATATTATTTTCCCTCTCATTATCTTTCCTCAGAATATAAATCAGCAATTACTTAACTCCCCTAATAGAGTCTGAGGTCATAAGTGAGGGTGAATAGTAATTTATTCACCCTTATGTGAGAGATTCACTTATGTGAGAGATTAAGATATTGTCCAGGTAGTCTGGTGACAACGGAGCGCGTTGCTTCCTATTCATACTGACTCGACTTTTTTTCTTCTTTCTCTCTGAGCTAATAGGCTTTTCTTTTTAAGAAAATAATTCAAAGTATAATGACATTCTTGGTAAAACTTTGAAAGGTAATCTGAAAAATTTCTTCTTTAAAACATAAGGCAACCAAACCAATGTGTGTGTGTGTTTTAAGTAATCCACTGAAAAGGTAAATTCAAGTGGCAAAGTCAGACAACTTGCAACAGCATAATCTGTTTTATTTAGTTAGTAATACAATGATAACAGGTTAAGAGCACTAGATTTGTATCCTTTAAAAGGATAATGATCAAGATTTTAATTTGTAAATTTCACTGTTCTTAACCATTAAAAATCTATTTTCCAAAGGAGTAATAATATATATAATTGTTAAGGAACAGACCTAAACTTTCTGATTTATTACCAAAAGCATATTTGTTCATTAGTTTAAACAAAACATTAGGGACATCTTAACTCTTGTTTACTGCTTTCAGGAAAGCATAAAGTTCTAGAAGCAAATATATACAAAACATCTTTTTCAGTAGTGATTTCAACCATTGTGTATCATGTCAATGAGAGAACCTGAGAACCCCAGATTTAGTATCTCCGGATTGTTGCAATACACTCTGGCTTAAACAATCAACCAACAAATGTGTATTTAGTGCCTACTATGTACAAGCCAACGTACTAAAGCAATACAGGAAATACAAAGAAGTAAAATTATCGTTCCTTGCTCTGCTCAGGCTTCCAATGTAGTTAAGATTAAACATAGACACAAATTATTCCACTTTCAGTGTCCTCAAAAGGAGTGACAGTTAACTGGATTGTGCACAAGAATCACCTCTGCTGGAACCCAGAGGAAGCAGGGGCATCCTCAGGAGTGATTAAAGTCTCTGTCTGAATTAGATTTCTCAGCTCCCGGTGGAGGAGTGGTGCTTGAACCCCAGAAACTGAAAGTGTTCCAGCCAGACTCACACCTGGCACCGTCAGCGACTGTACTTGGAATAGTTCTATGGACTTGTGACAATGAAGCAAGATAAACACACACACACATATATATATGTCCACATCATATATATATATACACACTCTCTCTCTCTCAAATGATATATGCTGTGGTGTTTCCCCTATGTATGTCTCCTGGAAAGCCAGGAGTTCAGTACCTTCCACTGCGCATGGAGAGGAGACTAACTCACATCATCATTTATCTGTTATTCTAATAAGACAAGCAAGACACTACAACAAACAAACCATGAAAAAATCTCCAAACTTCACAGAACACAAGCAAAATTAGAAAAGCTAGAGGAAAGGATAAGAAAAGAGGGCCCGGCCAAGAGGAGAGGTTTTAAGGGGGCCTCCAGGTGGGAGGGGAGCTGTCCTCCACTTCCGCTTCCATTCCCACTCACAGGGTCCCAAAGACAAGACCCGGGGAGCTGAGCTGGGCAGATAGAGAAAAGGAAAGCAGAAACACACGTTCCAACACCACGAATAAATAAATAAATAAATATGTTAAGCAATAAATAACTTATTAGGCACCGCTTGAAAGGCAGCAACCCTCACAGGCCAGGCAGGCCGCACTCCGGAGCCTGCAGGTGGTGGCCACACAAGCCCATGTTGGTTAAGGCTATGAAGGCGTCACCCTAGGTCCTGGCCTCACTGGGTCTTCAAGATAAACTGGAACAGGAATCTTCTTGTTACCCTTAGGTGGGCTTCTCCAGAATCTTAAGTGAGGGAGAAAGCCAAGCGGAGGGAGGGGCAGGCGCGCGGCCTGGAGGTCCCAGAGAAGTGAGTTCTGCCCTGCCTAATGTGGCCCAGGAGCGCCCAGTGCTTGGTCTTTGACGTCAAGGGCGCCAGTCTTGAGCCCGGTGAGAGGGTGGCTTCTGGTACACCCCTTCCTCCCCGCCCCCACACACCTCCCAGAATCTCATAAAAACTCATTTGGCTCATTCTTAGCTCCCTTTTGCTCCAAGGAGAGCTTGGATGGGGACTGCAGAAAGCCTGGGGTTCGAAGCGCGGGACCTATTTCACTAAGCACCTGGCTCCGCTGGGTGGAGTGGGCGTGGTGGAGGGGCCGGGAAAGACGCAGTTTCACCCCAGAGTGGGAAAACGGACCAGCTACCTAGTTCTTCCTCAAGTCTAACTTCCCTTCAAGTAGGGCTGCGCAAAGGGAGAGCGGTGGTCCCCGGGACTCCCCTAGGGGCACCAGGCAGAACCCGGACCGCGCCCGGCGCGGCTGGGCGGGGCTGAGGGCGAGCTAAGGACCAACCCTGAGGGACACCCTTGGCGGTAACCGTGGCTCAGCTTGAACAAACAGAAACAGCGCTGGAGGGACTGAGGATTGGACTGAGTTAGCAACGTGAATGAGTGCGTGATCTGCACCGGCGGGACGGTGCGGAAGCAAGGATCGAAGTTGCAGGGTGGGGAGTTTGGATCGGTCGGAGGAGCAAGCGCAGCTGAGAAAGGAGCGGAGTGGGAGAGCGAGATGACAGACAGCCATCTCAGTTTATAAACAAATCTCTCAATCCTACCATCGTCAAGCGCCTTTCTCGGGTCCCTGCACCAGAGGCTGGCGGTGCCCTCGCCCCACGTTACTCCCACCACACCCTGGCGCCCTGGATACCGTCCCCTTTCGCACCGGGGCCTCCCTTCTCCTCATTCTCCTCCTCTTTTGGCGCAGGGCCCCTGCGTGGCCCAGGCTCAGAGCGTTGTGATCCGGGACGTGCAGGTGCCATTACGGAAGACGCCGCCGGACTCCAGGTTCTCGGGCTGGAAGTCCTCCACGCTGTAGGCGCGGCTCTTGAGGGCCGTGGCGTAGTAATCGACTGGCTCCTCCGTGGCGTTGTCCATCCAGCTGAGGCAGAGGATGCGCTGGAAAGAGCGCTTGAAGTTGTCCGAGAGAAAGCCGTAAAGGATGGGGTTGGCACAGCTATTGGCATAGCCGAGGATGACCGACAGCTGGCTCACTGTGGCGTCGTCCTGCTCAGCGAACACGTTGACCAGCTGCACCACGTAGAACGGCATCCAGCAGATGACAAACACCATCACCACCATCATCACCATTAGGGTGATCTTGCGCTCCGAGCGCTTGCGCTGCTGCCAGCCAGCCTTGAGGGCCACCATGCGCATCTTGGCAATGATGAGCACGTAGCACAGGCAGATGGCCCCGACGGGCAGCAGGAAGCCCATGAGAAATGTGTACAACACGAAGCCCACCAGCCAGCGTTGGGCGGGCTCGGGCATGAGCATGTTGCAGGCCACCGTGCCGTCGCTGTTGGCCGCGGTGCGGGAGAAAACCACAATGGGCAGGATGACGAGTAGCGACAGCACCCACACGCCCAGGTTCACTACCTTGGCCACGGTGGGCCGGCGGTAGCGGGCCGCCTTGATGGGGTGCACCACGGCCACGTAGCGGTCCACGCTGAGGACGGTCAGACAGTAGATGCTGGTGAACATGTTGACCGCGTCCACGCTGAGCACGAGCCGGCAGAGCAGCGCGCCGAAGGGCCAGTGGCGCAACAACGTGGAGGTGACCAGGAAGGGCACGCTAAGCATGAGCAGCTCATCAGCAATGGCCAGGTTTAGGATATAGATGTTGGTGGCAGTCTTCATCTTGGCGTAGCGCAGGATCACGTAGATGACCATAGAGTTCCCACACAGCCCCACCAGGCACACCACGGAGTAGATGAAAGAGATGAGGATGGCGCTGCCCTGGCCCTCGCTCAAGGTCCCGTTCTGGGAGGCGTTTCGCCCTGGCTCCTCCATGCCGTCCGCAGCGCCGGCCCCGGGGCCCCTGCTGCCGCCGCCTTCGCTGCAGCTGCCCGGGCTGGGGCTAGGAGAGGAGGGAGAGGAGGCGGTGCCATTGGGGAACATCCCAGCCGAGGGGGGCCTGTGGGGCTGCCAGGGCTGGGGCTCTCTCCTTGCGCCCCCGCCGCCTGCGCCCTCCCTCCGCACCCGACCGCTCTCCCCAGCTCACAGCCACCCGGCGCCTCCGGGTAGAGCGCAGCGGCTGCGGGGAGCTCGGCTCCTACCGGCACCGGCAGGGCGCATTGCCCGGCGGCTTCCTGAGCGCGGCGCTTGCCGCTCCGGGGCGCCGGGGCACTCGCGAGCGTGGAGAGGGAGGCCGGAATGCTGGAGCCCCACGCGGCACAGACATTAACTGGCGCGGTTCTGGGCTGGTGAATGATTAATAAGGCACCACCAGCGCGTCAGCAACTACGAAAAAAGGAGGGGGGGAAAAAGAAGGAGGAGGGCACATAGGTGGCTTGTTCCCCCTCCCCCAATTTTTTCCCTTCCCAGTCCTGCACTCGGCTCAACTCCAGTGGCTGCTTTCAGGGTTCCCTCGCAGCACCTTTCACCCATCCCTAAGAGGGACCTAGGGAGTTTCTCTGCCTTTCTGGAGGGTGAGTAGGAATCAAGGTTGTAAATTTTGTCCCATTCCATCCCGCAGCAAAGACCGAAGCGGACCCCAAACATGGGTGTTTAGAGTTCATCTCAGTTTCTCAAGTTGCTGCCCTCTCCTGGGGGAGATCTCAGCTCCCCTCCGCCCCGCAGCCCCAGACCCTAAGCCCCCACCTCCTGCCCCCGCCGGCCCTGCCCTAAGACCCGCCGCAGAAGCCCCCCGCCCTCCTTACCCAGAGCGCGCCACCTCCAGCCCGACGGGGAGACGGCCCTGGCGAAGTGCATGTGCGGTCTGGAAGCAGGCTGACGTTCTCCGCGCGGTCCAACTCGCCTCTTTGGGTTGGGTCCCAGCACAGGTGCCCACGCAATTACTCCGAGAGTCGCAGAAATTGACCCTACGCCGAGACCGTGACGAGGAGGAAGCACAACTACCATGCGTTAGGGACTTCTGCGATCTAATACCGCAGGCAGCTCTTGGCCGGCGGGGGTGTTCGGGGGCCTGGGTAAAGCGTTTCAAATCTCTTAAGAAAGCTTGTAGCGTCCAGAGGACCCCGCGTCTCCCACGGGAATCGACCCCAGAAACGAGGACGCGCGGCTGAGAGCTCAGAGGAGCCAGAGACTCGCTCCGGAACGCGCCGGGCGCGGAATTGGAAATGCATCTAGGTGTTCACTGGCGGAGATAAGGCTGCGCCGCTCCGAGCCGCCCCGCCCGCGTCCCTGCTGTACTTTGTACCCTGGAGAGTTGGCGGGGGCTCCTGGGGAGAAGAATGTAAAGCCTTGGGTGGGCGGGGACGCCAGATCCTCTTAAATGCACGGGGGTCTGGCCATGCAGATGACCAGACCTGCCACCAACCCCAGGAACAGCGGGACGACTTTCGGGTTTTCTTCCATGAAGTGCTAGGATGTCAGCTTTTTCTGAGGTTTCCTGACCAGACTCTAGTTCAGGTGCCTAAATCATTGTGATAGACCTCGATGTAGGCATGCCTGAAGCTCATTAACTTCATTTAGGAATCAAACAGTTTCCCTTTAAGAAAGAATGGGTGTTCAATGACCAGGATTTTAGCTCTCTGAGACTTTCCACCATCCCTGGCATAGGCCTTCTTTGGCTGTCTAAATTGTTCCTGTGGAAGGAAGAATCACACTCCTTCCGACTCCCCTATTCTGCTTCATAAATGCTGCTCTGCTACGCAAGATCCCTAAGAGTCTTTACTTGAAACTGTACCCAGGAAGAGGGACCTGCAGCAGCCTACTGCTCCGCCTCTTTCAAGCTTTTGTGTTTCCAGTTCCTCCTGGATGCACCCACTGTGCTGTCAGTGTGTTTTCCCTCCCCTGGGTACAGTTTATATCAAGGAGAGGTAAAAAACAGAAATGAAGCTCCTCGTGAAGGCGATTTGTACCAAACAGTCAAGAATGAAAAAATGGATGCGGAAATTAAAAACAAAAAAGTCTAATTCCTAATGCCCTGTTGCTTTATCCAGGTAATCATTTATATATACTGTGTTTTAGTTCTCAAAACAAAGTGCTCTTGAAAGGGAAAGAAAAACTTCTGTAGTGTGTCGACGATAGCAATAAAAGAGTAAAATAAATGACAACAGGACTTTCATAGGAATGTGTGCAAGGGACACTGAATTATTGATGAGAAATGTGCTAGGATAGAATTTGAAATTTCATAAGGCCTAAGCTGTTTAACCCATTGCTTTATCTAAACAAATTGCCTTCTTTAAAGTGAAATATGGAATTGGTGTTTAGTTATATTTCTTTTTCCTTTAAAAAAATGTAGCATGTATGGAGAGAAAAATAATGAATGTTTATCAGGTTAAAAAAAAAAGAAAGTCAGAGAGAGAGTTTTGTCCCAGAAGAGCATTTTACTAGCCAAACCTAGTAAAATGGTTTAGATCCCTCTGCAATCACTGACTAAAGACATCTGTCTATATCTCTGCGGGCTGGCATTTCAACAGTCATCATTTAGAGCCTTGGCTTTGATCATGGTTGCTCCAGGGGAAGGGGATGATTGGAGTCCACGAAAGACAGCTCTGTTCAGAATTTCATTAAGTTGACTTTGCAGCTCATCTTAGGGAAAACTACTCTCTATTTGGTTGTGGTCTCATATACAAAAGAAGAAAACTGAAGACCTAACATGAGCTGCCTTTTTTTTTTTTTCTGGCTTTTGAAGTGGTTTCTATGATGGATTACTTACCCGTAAAAAGACATTGACAATAAGATCCCATTTTACATCCATTAGGATGGTTAGAATTTTAAAAATACAGAAAACAAATGCTGGCGAGGATATGGAAAAAATGGAACAATCATACATTTCTGTTGGGAACAACAACAAAAAAAATGATGCAGCAACTTTAGAAAAAAGTTTGGAGATTCCTCAAAAAGTTTAAAATAGAATTACCAGATAAGCCAGAAATTTCACTTCTATTTACCCCTCAAAATTGAAAACAAGTGTTCAGACAAAAGCTTGTGCATGAACATTCATAGCAACACTATTCATAATAGCCAAAGATTGGAAACAACCCAAATACCCATCAATTGCTGAATAAATATACAAAATATGGTACATGCATAGAATGGCTGTTTGTTATTCATCCATAAAAAGGAATGAAGTACTAATAAACATGCGACATAGATGAACCTTGAAAACATTATGCAAAGTAAAAGAAGCCAGACACAAAAGGTCATGTATTGCATGATTCCATATATATGACTTGTCCAGGGTAGGCAAATACATAGGTATAGAAGGCAAATTAATGGTAGCCAGGGGCTGGGGGAAGTGGGGAATGAGAAAGGACTGCTTAATTGGTATGAGCTTTCTTTTATGGGTGGTAAAAAAGTGTTCTGGAATTAGATAGTGGTGATGGTTGCACAACATTGTGAATATGCTAAAAATCCTTGAATTGTACACTTCATAAGTGGTTAAAATAATGAATTTGACATTATGGGAGTTTTACTTCTAGAAAAAAAGAGAGTGATTAAGGTGGATATAAGCCATGCAATATTATCCAATCTCTGCAGTCATATAGTTTTTATTATTGTATCTGTGAACTGATCTATGAGCAAACAATAACAAACAGGAAAAACGTGGCATTTCTGGGCCACCAGAAAGGTAGAATGAGTTGCAGTTGTTTTAAAATTATATTAAAAGCAGAAGACCAGTGAGGAATCTGCCTTCCTCTCAGACTTCAATTTAATGTAAATATTTTCAAAAGAAACAGGAAAACTGATATAGACATGATATCTCTATAATGTGCAAAGACCACAGACTATGAGAAATCTTGTCTTGTTAACATTTTTTTTTTAATTTCACATATCTAAAGCCTTGACAAGATTAGGAAGAGCTTGTTTTTTCCATGCAAGTTACTGTCCTCCAACCCTCCCTTCTTTGGTTACCATCTTTCCTATGCCTCTGTGATATGAACATTTCTAGATAGGAGAGGAGAAAGGAGATATTTTCCAAAGGGGAAGAAAGAAAAGTTCTATAATTTAAGGAGTTACTGATTCTCAAGCAGACTCATTTTCTTCCCTCATTGTAACTTTCTCTTACAAGCTATACTTCTCTGTGTTATCGTGAACCAGATGCACATTTTGGTTATTATATTCATCACACTGTACTGTGGTTTTATGTACTTGTCTTTTCCTCTTATAAATCTGTAAGCTTGTTGAGAACAGAGGTATATTTTATCTTTCTATCCCCAGCATCCAGCACAGTACCTAGAAAATAGCCCCAGACCTGCTTGTTTTATTTTTCCCAAGGAATCCGATGGATACTATAACACCTTCCTCTTTTCTAGCCTGTAAAATGTGAATGCAAAGAAACTGTGGGCCATTTACAAGAAAAGCTTTCATATCTGGGTAATACCATCATCTGTAATAATTCCTTATACATTTAAATCATTCTGAATAATTTCAATTTGCATGTTCTATAGCAACAATTATTATGCTGATGCCTCATTCATTGATCATTCTTGGTCTTAAATTTCTTGGCAGAGAAAGGGCTCCAGAATATGGGTAGTACATGCTTTAGCAGCTAATGACGGTTATTTAATAGTATCATGCAGTGTGAAAGCCATCATATGTGGAAGATCGTTTCTTTTTAATTGCAGTCCTGAGTCTCAGTTGGTTTGGTGGAATAGTAATTATCAGGAGCTCAAGCTCTGCTTCTGTCAAAATCATTACTAATGTGGTTTTTCCAATTGGAGCCTATGGTGATCCTCAAATGAGCTCCTCTAATCCATGCCAGTGGTAAAGGGCCGGCTGGGGCCAGGGATTAAAGAGTACACTTCCTGGAACATTCTCTGCACTGGCATCATCAGAGTCATGTTTGCAAACACCTGCCTGGACAGATGGGACCAAGCAGAGTATAAGGGGCGAGTACCACTCAGCAACATGTCCCACAGCAGAAGTTGTGTCTCTTTAAGGACCATATGCCACTAAGCAGTTAACATGGCAGTCTAAGAAGAAAGTTACCAGAGCACAAAAGTGGCTATAAGGCTAAAGAACAATCCTGGACTTCATTTCCCAGGGATGCCCAATCACAGCAGCTTTGGTAACCTGTGGTTCAGTTCATCACCAATCTCAGAGAACTCTCCCTGGCCTGCTGATTTTCCTATCGTCTCTTCTGTGGAACAGCATGACGGAGTCTCTTTTGTGCTTTTAGAAAAGACCCATATGGGGTAACAACTCATGTTCTTCCCTATGGATTCTTTACTACTAAGTAATATTGCTAAGAATAAAAATTCGGCACATACAGGAAAATATCCACTATTATTAGTGGATAAATAAAAACATAACAAAAACAACCCCATGTTACCTGTATTATTTTGAAAAGTTTTGTCTAGCAATATATTTTTTTCTGTAATAAAGATTCTGCTAGTTAAGGATTTCAGGATGGACTGCATTAGTTTCAAACAATGTGTCAAAATCATTTTATATGTTGGCATTTGTCTTCTTAGCAAAAATCACACAAAAAATGCTTTCAAAGTCACAAACCATAAATTTGTTTCTTTTGATACCTCAATTGATGTTTGATTTTGAGCAGAGCATTTAAGTACTCACAGTAAATCGTCTATTCCTTGAGAAAGGGCCGTTCTTTTGGATTGCGCTATATCTGTCAATCAACTCCCCCAGCTGATTGAACTAAGAAATAGCGCAAAGCCCAGCAAAGGGCTGGGCGTGGAAGGAAACCCAGTTTTGTAAATGGAAGCCATGAATGTATGGTAACACCCATCACCATGACACTGCCACTTTATTTCCATTTTAAATATGTTGAGGTAGGAGTGTAGGCTCATGTTCCCTCAGCCAAAACACTGTCTTATCTAGATGAGGAAGAAACTTAAAAGGCTGATCTTTTCTCCTTTCCACAATTAAGTTGCAACTGGTCAGAAGTTGTTCTATAGTGACAGTGTCTCCATCTTCTTGCCTTCTCCTGCTGGAGGGATGAAGAATTGGAGGGAGGGGGAGGAGAGTGTCTGTGAGCTGTCAGAAGGTGGGCACAGAACCACAGGAAGTGGTCCAGGAAGGGACACCTGGATTGCCAGCTCCCTCCCTCCTCCTGCCTATGGGCTGCTTCATGCTGGCCAGCACCAGGCCCTGCCCCTGCTCTCCTTCCTCACACAGCATGGAGTGATATTTTACTTTGTCCTTGAGGAAGGAGTCTGTGCGACAGCCTGACTTCTCCTTTCCTGTCACAAGAGGGAGGTAAGAAGTTAATGCAGTCTAGCTGAGGACACCTGGCCTACATTTCACTGCTTATGCAATTAGCCA